TTTTTTTAAAAGAGGGTTGATTTTTAAAGATTACAAAATTCTCTCTCATCATGAAAGATTCTTATATCCTAACATCATATAATTTTGCTTTTCATCTTTGTTGTTGTTGCTTACCACCATCAAGTCAGAACCAACCCATAGCTCACCCTTCAGCAGGTTTTCAGAGACACTAAGTTATGTAGGAAGAGATTGCCCATCTTTCTTTTCACCCATGGAGCAGCTGCTAGATTCGAACTGCATGCCTTTGGGATTGCAGCACAGCTTCTTCAGGAAGAAACAGTCAAACAAACCTAAAGTGTTGGTGTTGAGTAGATTCCAACTCACTGAGACTTCATGGGGTTCAGAGTAGAACTGTACTCAGTTAGGGTTTCTGTGTTTGTGATTTTTATGAAAATAGATTACCAGACCTTTCTTGAAGAGCATTTAGGTGGATTTGAACCTTTCAGGTTACTAAGTGATAAAGGAAATGCTTTGTACCACCCAGAGACCTCTAACCTCCAGAAATTGTTGGATGGTTACCAGAGATGGGGTGGTAGAGAAAGAGCAGTAAAAATTAATAAATGCATAATAAACACTTATGACATTGGGTGAAGACAAAGGCTCTAAGGGAATGATCAGACATTGTGGGTATTGTCATTGATGCTGTCAAACTATGTATTAGATATGCGTATTATAATTAATGTATAAGCAAAAATGTATACAAATGGAATAAAAAAAATCAATGTGCTTTGTAAACATTCACTCAAATTACAATTAAAAAATAGTTAAAAATATATCCTTTTGCATCATTAAGTGCAGTGTATTGAAAATGTGAATTAGGTCAAGGGAATTGATGATATTCCAATCTATGTTCTTACCCGTGTTTGGGATGCTGTTCTTCTAGGGTCTTTACTGTATGGCCCATATATTCAGTGAGGCCTTTTTAGCTGGTGTTTCTAGAGCATGAGCTGTTAGCTATGAAAATCTGTGAGCTATGAAAATTATTCATCTCCCAGCTTCCCCATAGCTGTGTGTGTCCCAGCTCCTGTTTTTTACCTAGCTTCATGGGGTTGAACATTGCTCCTGTATGGGGGTGTGTTACATGCTGGGCTGCTAATTAAAGATGAGCAGTTTGAGTCCGCCATCCTCTCCAAGGCAGAAAGATGGGCAGTCTGCACACGTAAGGACTTACAGCCCCACCTTGAGGTGGGGATTTTTAGCTATGTGACTATTATACTTCAGTCTTGTCATTTCCTGATGGCATAAAATCAGGTAACAATAAGGAATATGACTTTTTTTAAAGATAAGTTTTATTTTAGTGGTGATTTTAATGAAAGTTTACAGAAAAGTTAGATTTTCATTCGATTTGTTGCATATTTTTTACCGCTTCTTCCTCCTTCACTCCCCACTCCCCAATGCACTTTTTTTAAAAAAATGATAACTTTTAAAATTAGTTATTTTTTATTTTATTTTGGTGGTTTACAAATTATTCGTTTTTTTAAAATACACCCTCATAGACATTTTGTTTTAGGTCATTACCATCAATTAATGCAATGATCACCATATCTAATCAGCTCCTCATTACTTATTGCCTTTCCCTTCAGTAAACTTACCTATTTGGTGTTTTTTTTTTGTTTGTTTTGTTTTTTACCTATTTTTTGATTTTCACAAAAGGATTATTACTTTTGCTTCATTTCTCTTGGGCATTAAGAGTTTTTTTTACTTGTTCTTTCTGGATGTAGTTGTTTTTATATTTTTGTTCAGTTTCCTAGTGTTTACAGCATGGGGTTAATTCTGAGTCCTATTTCTCTCTGATAGCCAGAATAATAAGTGTTCCCTCCCTCGTCTTTCTTTTTAACTCTTTGTTTTATGCCACTGTTTGTAATGATTTCCAGCAATTATTGCTGTAGGTTTCCTGTGCTGTTGTATGTGCTTCTCTAAAATGGAGTCTTACTCGTAAAGGAAAGGGCTAACTGTGACCTCTGTGTACAAGTTCATGTTAGACAGGAGGCTTCTCTTTAAAGAACTCGGGAGGAAGTTTGGGATTTCTCAATAAAAATAGAAGAAGAACTTTAAATCAGGTGCTGATTTATAACCCAGATGCCTTAATCTTTCCCAAGTAGAGAGTTGGATTTACACCTATAAAGAATAGTGTTAGTTCATTTCAGTCTTAGAGTAAGTAGAGGTTGTGATTGCTTTGTATGTATGGAGATAGGAAAGATGAAAGGGATCAGCTGGTCAATTGTTTAACTTCACCAACTACTGTCTAGCAAGCTGTTCTGCTCCCCACACCTACCTGCTCAGAACTTCCCAGGTATGCTAGCAGGAAGATCGCTTTCTGTTGTTTTTGTAGCTTTCTCCTGTGAGTGTTCTCTGGGTTTTCTCTGCTCTGGTTTATTCATTAATTCTATTTCACCTTTCTTGTGTTGTACAGAAATGTATCAACATCACTGATTTGCTCATGGATTTCAGTCTGATTAATAATATATAATGTTATATGTTATGTAATACTATATATCATGTATTTTAATATGTTGTTGTATACCATCGAGTCAGAACCTACTCATAGCTGACCCGCTAGCAGGTTTTTGAAGGTAGTAAATCTCATGGTAAGAGATTATCCACCTTTCTTCCACAGAGCAGCTGATGAACTTGGACTGTGCACCTTTGGGTTGACAGTGCAAATTCTTACCAGGCCACGAGAGTGCCCTGTATTATAATGTTGTTGTCGTTGTGTACCATCAAGTCTGAACTGATCCATAGCCGACCTTCTGATGAGTTTTCAGAGGCAGTTAATCACAGTGGAGAAGATTGCCCATCCTTCTCTGCAGAGCAGCTGGTAGCCTCGAACCACGTGCCTTCGGGATTGCAGTGAGGCTTCTTGCCATTAGGCAACTAGAGCGCTTTTATAATGGAGCATTTTAATAGTAGATATTTTATCTGCTCTTTTCTGTAAAATCCTTGTCTGTCAGATAATTTTCTAAACCTGAGCATGCAAATTAAGACAGACTAGGAAGAAGGATTGGCCATCCACTTCTGAAATAGCAGGCCTCCTGAAACCCTATGCACTATAGAGCACACTTAGACTAGCAGATATGGAAACTGAGGCTGAGTTCTCAAGTTTGGAAACAAAAGAAAAAAAAAGAGCAACAGTTGTAAACAGACACTAGTGATTGGAATGTGAGAACTACAAACGTAGAAAAATTGGATATTATTGAGAAAGAACCGGAACACATAAATATTGGCATAGTAGTTATCGGCAAAATGAGATGGACTGGTGTGGGACATTTTGAGTCAGATGATCATATGGTCTACTATGCTAGAAATGAAAAGATGAGGAAAAATGAGATTGCTTTCATAGTTAAAAAAGTAATTTCTAGATCCATCTTGAAATATAATGCTATGAGTGACAGGATAATATTCATATGTACACAAGGAAGTCCAGTAAATACCACTATCATTAAAATATATGCACCGGCAACCAACTAGCATCAAAGAGGAGGAACTAGAAGATTTCTACCAACTTTTGTAGTCAGAGATTGATCAAACATGGCAATAACGATGCATTAATAATAATGGATGATTAGAATGTGGG